GCTCCTCAAGGCCACGGAGCCCGGGCTGTTCAGCGTGTGGGCGCACAACGGCGAGGTGCGCACGGCGCGGCTGCTGAGCGAGCGCGACGCGGCCAAGCACAGGCTGCTGGTGCTGGTCAAGGACAATGGCGAGCCGCCGCTGTCGGCCAGCGTCACGCTGCACGTGCTGCTGGTGGACGGCTTCTCGCAGCCCTACCTGCCGCTCCCGGAAGCGGCTGCCGACGCGGCTCAGGCCGACCCGCTCACGGTCTACCTGGTCATCGCGTTGGCGTCGGTGTCGTCGCTCTTCCTGTTCTCGGTGCTGGCGTTCATTGCGGTGCGGCTGTGCAAGAGGGGCAGAAGCGCCTCGTTGGGTGGCTGCTCGGTGCCCGAGGGCCACTTTCCGGGCCACCTGGTGGACGTCAGTGGCAGTGGAACCCTTTCCCAGAGCTATCAATATGAGGTGTGTCTGACGGGAGACCCTGGGACTGGTGAGTTCAAGTTCCTGAAGCCAATATTCCCCAACCTTTTGGTTCAAGACACTGAGAGAGAAATGAAAGATAACCCCAATTGTAGGAATAGTTTTGTGTTCAGTTAAGTATTGTATTTGGTTAAGTGAGCGTCTCCTTAATTTTGGCGAAACTCTCATTGCAATGCCTTTCTTTTAAGAAATTGTATTGTTGTCTAATTCTGTATATCTCTATTCCAAACCAATCTATGTCCCTGATTTTGCTAAATTTCTTTCTCTTATTAATATTCATTGGACTTGGCCTTTTTAATTATACTGAATACTGAGTATGTATTTTCTCCATATTTGGCTTTATCTTAGTTATTAATCTTTCCATAACTATAAATTACTCAAGTAATGAAAGAAGAATTTTTGTTTAAATCAATATTTTAATTAATGTCTTTTTAATGAAACGTTTTAAAACTTTTATGTAATTTTGCATTTCTATATATTTGTGGTTTTTGTCTTTATTATATAGCTTAATCTTTGCAAGACCAGTGTTTGAAATTCTTTACAGCTACCTAGGCCTTTCTCATTGACTATTCTACCAGGCTATAGCCCCTGAGTAACCAACCATGAGCATATAACTTAGCATACTTGTTTCTCTCAAATTGTACATAAACATGCACCTCATTAAAATATTAATGCACTAAAACTGTGACCTCCCATTGTGAGAACCATATATGCTAGAGATTTTTAAATTTATTTGGTTGTTACTTACCTAGCACATTGTAAGTACTCTATAAATACTCACTAATGTTAAATGTTTAAAAACTTCTCATCTATAATTAATAATTAATGAGAAAATCTTATATAATTTAGCATCACTTTCACTAAATAAAACTAAGTCGCTGCTTGGTAAAACCTTTTAAAAATCATCTCAGAACCTTAAATCCTAAATCTTTTTATAAGATTTAAGATGTGGAGGGCATCATATACTTCTTTGTCCTTCTTTTTCTCTATAAGTAGAAGTTCAAGTGTAGTTTAATGTATGTTTCTCTGCATCTTCTCCCTACTGTTCAAAGAATCAGATGATTTCTTCTGAATTTCAGTTGTTCTGTTTAAGTCTAATTATCAGGTGATATCGGATTTTCACTTTAATTTACTTTGCAGACTTAGATAGATTTTATCGACAAAATAATGATTTATTTTTGATTTCCAAATTATCTTTTGTTCTTCAATGTAGTTTTCAAGTATTTTGTGTAAGTTTACAATTATGCTGAACTTTCGATTGTAAGAAATAAGCATTATTTTGTTTTTAGGACATTAAAATAAAAATAGAAATTAAATAAGAAATGAACTTATCTGAATTATAATTGTCTTATGTTGTGTTCAATAAGCAAAATAAGCTGATCATGTGATTTCCACCTAAATTTATGTGAATATGACTATAAGACCACTTAGTTGAACTTTTAGCACAATGTGAGCAGTTAAAGAGCTTGCTTTCTAATCTAAATATTTATTTTGAAATCTCAAGTGTCATTCTACTAGAAATTAATTACTTGCATTTTTCCCTGAATTATTTTTTATCATAAAGATATAATAAAACAAAAAAGGAGAATGACTTACTGTTTAAGTTATTATTGAAACAGTTTTTTAGCTTTCATCTAATTGAAAAAATTGAAATGAGAAAGTGATAAAAATGAGAACAAAATTAAACACAAGCTAATATATATGACATAAATATGGTAGTCAACTTTAATGACTTCTCCATTTATTATTAATTATTTAAATTAAATAGCTTTTATGTATGATAACAAGAAATCTGATTGACATTTTCACCAATATATTTCAATATTATAAAAATGCAAGTTCACTTTTTCTGTTTATGCCAAGAAAGTCCAATTTGTATAATCGACCAAATGAGACTGGCTAAATAAATAAACAGAACCCATCTTTATGAATTTATGTAGTAAATTTATTAATTACCTGTGTCTTACTTTATGAATTATTGTGTATATTCATAAAGCATGGATCATTCTTTATCATCTAGAGATCACCACAAGACTGGTGTAGAATAGATCAATATTTTGAAATTCAATGATTAGAATTTAGTAGTAAACATTAGTTGGATAACTTCCACAAAATGCTTACCTTATTAAAAATAGGCCAATATATTCTTGCAAAACAAAAATAGAGAATAGAGGCCAAATAGCTTAAATAGAGGGATATATAATATTCAATAGTTGGAAGATTTAATGTTGGGAATTATATCAATTCTCCACAATCAATCTATAGATGTAATATAATCCTAAACAAAATTTCAGCAGATTTCTTTATGAAAATTGACAAACTGAATCTAAAGTTTATATGGAAGTACAAAGGGACTATAATAACCAAAACGGTCTTGAAGAAAAAGAATTAAACTGGAGGACTTACCCACCAGATAATAATCCCATTATAAAGCTAACGTAATTAAGACAATATAATACCGCAGGATAAACAGAGAGAAAAATGGGGGCAAAAAAAGAGTCTTAAATAGACCTATAGTTACCTGATTTATTACAAAGTGATATTTTAGTAACAATGGGGAATGGATCACCTTTTCAATAGATGGTGCAAAATTATTTGAATATTTATATAAAAAATAATTTTGACCCTAACCTCATTCATATGAAAAAAAATTCAAAAGTATTATAGCTCTACCTGTGAAAAATGATTAATTTTTTAAAAACCTTATACAAGAATTATTTTCATGACCTCGGGTTATGCAAAGATTTAAAGAGAACGCAAAGAATGCTAGCCATAACTATTGAGAAATATTGACAAACTAGTAGACTAAATTAAAGTTTAAGAAGTTTTATTTATCAAAGATACCATAAGAGTTAAATCCCAAACCATAGAGTGGGAGAAGATATTTGCAATACATATTTCTGAAAAACTACATATATCCAGAATATATTAGGAGCTTCTAAAACTGGATAAGAAAAAAAAGGCAAATATCATAAATAGAGAAATAGACAAAAAACTTTCAGGCACTTCACAAGAATGTACCCTAATGGCCAATGAACATGGAAAATATGCTCAATTCAGTTAACTATTGGGGAAATACTGATTAAAATTATAATATGATATCACCACACTCTCACCAGAATGGTTAAAGTTAACAATATCAAATGTTGACAAGGATATGGAGCAACGGGAACTCTCATTCTTTGCTGGTTTTGGTAAAACTGCTTTTGCAATATCTGCTAAAGCTAAATATATGTGCACATCTTAAGGCACAGCAGTCTAACTCCTAGGAATATATTAAACATCATCCACTCATAGACATCAAAGACTTGTGCAAGAACATTCATAGCGGCACTACTCAAAATATCCCCAAACTGGAAAACCCCAATGTTCATCAAGTGAAGAATGGATAAACAAATTGTAGTATAGTCATAGAATAGTATAAAACAATGAGAAGAAAATAGATTGGAAGAATATGCAAGAAAGAGATGAATTTTAGAAATGTAAAGTGAAAGAAGTCATAACACAGAAGCCAAACACTCTATAACTCCATTTGTATAAAAGTTCAAAAAAAAAAAAAAAAAAACAAGTCTGTAAAAATAGAAGTTAGGAGAGTCCTTACCTTTAGCGGGGAGGGTAGTGACCAGACAATGATAGGAGGAGGCTTATAGGGTTTTGGTAACATTTTAGTTTTAATTTAGATTCTGCTTATTGGAGTGAATTTACTTTGTAAAAATTCTTTGAGTTGTACACTTATGATTTGTGCCCTTTTCTGATATATGTTATATTTAAAGATAAAAATTATTTTTGGAAAGTTGTAAACTTTTGTAAACATCCATTATCACTTATTTCTTTAATATAACCAAACAAGAAACCCACAAGAAAAAATTTCTTTACATACTCAAAAGGTACTTTTATGAGAAGTACTAATATATCATTTTAGTTCTGAAAAGTACTCTTTTACTTAAAGTTAACTCAACAAATATTCATTTAGAGCTTCCAATAATTAAGAACTGGAGATCAGATAAGGAACACTTCTGTGACTTAAAAGTTTTGATAACACACCAGAGTTATAATTTGGAATGAAATGGCAAATACTATATGCAATAGAAAATAAGGACGCCTGGTGGCGCTGCAGGCTAGGAGTTTGAATGAAAGACTCTGGCTACCAGGATCGCCATTAAGCTAGAAATCAGAACTCTGACTGCTTCCTAAAAGGAAGCATATTAGGTAAGATCTAGGGGCAGAGATCTTCAGAGAGAGCATCGTTCTAGTCCAAGTCAGTCAGAAAGATTTAAGTAGGGGTTTTTTAACCAAATCATCTGGGTCGATTGCATACCGAGTTGAAGAAACTGCCACTTCTTGAACAGGGTCTGAACAATGGAGACGGCGCTAGCAAAAACGCCACAGAAAAGGCAAGTTCTCTTTCTTGCTTTATTGTTGCTTTTGTGGGAGGCTGGCTCTGAAACAATTAGGTATTCCATGCCAGAAGAAACAGGAAGTGGCTCCTTTGTGGCCAACCTAGCAAAAGACCTGGGGCTCAGGGTGGGAGAACTGGCCCCTCGGGGTGCGCGCATCCATTACAAAGGAAACAAGCAGCTCTTGCAGCTCGATATAAAGACCGGGAGTTTACTTCTCTCTGAAAAACTAGACCGGGAGGTGTTATGCGGGGCGACAGATCCATGTGTACTGCAATTCCAACTATTACTGGAAAACCCAGTACAGTTTTTTCAAGCTGATCTTCAGCTCACAGATATAAATGACCATTCCCCAGAGTTCCTAGAAAGGGAAATGCTCCTAAAAATCCCAGAGAGCGTCCAGCCAGGGACTGTGTTTCCTTTGAAGATAGCGCAGGACCTTGACATAGGCAGCAACACTGTTCAGAACTACACAATCAGCCCCAACTCCTATTTTCATGTTGTCACTCATAATCGCGGAGATGGCAGAAAATACCCAGAATTGGTGCTGGACAAAGCGCTGGATCGGGAGGAGCAGCCCGAGCTCAGTTTAACGCTCACGGCACTGGATGGTGGGGCTCCGCCAAGGTCTGGGACGACTACCATTCGCGTTGAAGTCGTGGACATCAATGATAACGCCCCTGAGTTTTCACAGTCGCTCTATGAGGTACAGGTCCCAGAGAACAGCCCCTTAAACTCCTTAGTTGTCAGGGTCTCCGCCCGAGATTTAGATGCAGGAACGTATGGGACTGTAGCTTACACTCTATTCCAAGGTGATGAAGTTACTCAACCATTTGTAATAGATGAAATAACAGGAGACATTCGTCTGAAAAAAGCATTGGATTTCGAGACAACTCAATATTATAACGTGGAGATTGCGGCAACTGATGGTGGGGGCCTTTCAGGAAAATGCACTGTAATTATACAGGTGGTGGATGTGAATGACAATGCCCCTGAATTGACCATGTCAACTCTCACCAGCTCTACCCCGGAAAACTCCCCAGAGATTGTAGTTGCTGTTTTCAGTGTTTCTGATCCAGACTCTGGGGACAATGGCAAGATGGTTTGCTCCATCCAGAATGATCTCCCTTTTCTCTTGAAACCAACATTCAAGAACTTTTACACCCTGGTAACAGAAAGCCCATTGGACAGAGAGACTAGATCCGAGTACAACATCACCATCACCGTCACCGACTTGGGGACACCCAGACTGAAAACCCAGCACAACATAACCGTACTGGTCTCCGACGTCAACGACAACGCCCCGGCCTTCACCCAAACCTCCTACACGCTGTTCGTCCGCGAGAACAACAGCCCCGCCCTGCACATCGGCAGCATCAGCGCCACAGACAGAGACGCGGGCGCCAACGCCCAGGTCACCTACGCGCTGCTGCCGCCCCAGGACCCGCAGCTGCCCCTGGCCTCCCTGGTGTCCATCAACGCGGACAACGGGCAGCTGTTCGCCCTGAGGGCGCTGGATTACGAGGCCCTGCGGGTCTTGGAGTTCGGCGTGGGCGCCGCGGACCGCGGCTCCCCGGCGCTGAGCAGCCAGGCGCTGGTGCGCGTGCTGGTGCTGGACGCCAACGACAACTCGCCCTTCGTGCTGTACCCGCTGCAGAACGGCTCTGCGCCCTGCACCGAGCTGGTGCCCAGGGCGGCCGAGCCGGGCTACCTGGTGAGCAAGGTGGTGGCGGTGGACGGCGACTCGGGCCAGAACGCCTGGCTGTCGTACCAGCTGCTCAAGGCCACGGAGCCCGGGCTGTTCAGCGTGTGGGCGCACAACGGCGAGGTGCGCACGGCGCGGCTGCTGAGCGAGCGCGACGCGGCCAAGCACAGGCTGCTGGTGCTGGTCAAGGACAATGGCGAGCCGCCGCTGTCGGCCAGCGTCACGCTGCACGTGCTGCTGGTGGACGGCTTCTCGCAGCCCTACCTGCCGCTCCCAGAAGCGGCTGCCGACGCGACCCAGGCTGACCCGCTCACGGTCTACCTGGTCATCGCGCTGGCGTCGGTGTCGTCGCTCTTCCTGTTCTCGGTGCTGGCGTTCATCGCGGTGCGGCTGTGCAGGAGGAATAGGGCCTCCTGGGTGGGTGGCTGCTCGGTGCCCAAGGGCCACTTTCCGGGCCACCTGGTGGATGTCAGCGGTAGTGGGACCCTCTCCCAGAGCTATCAATATGAGGTGTGTCTGACAGAGGGTTCCAAGTCAAATGAGTTCAAGTTCTTGAAGCCGATTCTCCCCAATCTTCTTCCCCAAAGCACTGGCGAAGAAATGGAGGAAAACGCCACCTTCCGAAATAGCTTTGGATTCAATTAGGGATCTCATCATGATGCAGTGTGTTTTGTCATCCATATCTAATTTCCCCAGATACAGAATTTGACAGCGTCATGGACAATAATTCCACCTTCAGGTATAGCCTGATTTCCCTTTTGTAATGTATTTGTCCATTGCACTTTATCTTGTCCAATTTTAGAAAACTCGATTTTATGCCATTGCATTATTTACATAATGCCATTCCAAAACCATGCATGCTGTTGATTTTCCTGAAATGTTTGCTCCTCTCGTTGGCATTTGATGTGATGACCACCTTAATAAAATAAAATATTAGTTGCTTTTCTCTGTATTCTATTCATTGTGTTTTATCACACTCTAATTATATTGATGCTAAATAACAAAAAATAAAAAATATTTTTTCATAATTTTAAATATTATTTTCAAAGGAATACATGCATATGATAACAAATGTAATACGTGAGGAAATAGAATGGAAACAATTTTTTATCTACTCTTCTTTCCTAGCTCTTATCCCCACTAGCAACCTTTAAAAAAAAAAAAAACAACAAGCATTTTCATTGAATTATACATACAGGAAAGTGAACAAATTCTTAACATCAGCTCAATGTATTTTCAGAAAGTGAGCATATTGGTATCAGCATCTTGATGAAGAATGAAACATTGTTAGCATCCCAGGTACCACACCGATTATCCCTTAAAATCCAGCTCAAATATAACAAATATCATGACTTCTAATACTATAGTTTAGTTTTTCCTGTTTTGAATTATTTTAATGGAATAATAAAATATGAACTGTTTTGTGTATGGCTTCTTTCATTCAACATTATGTTTATGAAATTTATCCATGATATTGCTTTTAATTTTAGTTCTTCATCTTCATTGCTGTATAGTAGTCAGTGTATAAATATTTCACAATTTATTATCCATCTTACTGTAGATGGATATTTGGGTTGGTGCAAGGTTTGGTTGTTTGAATAATACTGCTATGAACATTCTCATTCATGTCTTTTGGCAAACATGTATATGCATTCTGTTGGGTGTATACCTAGGGGTGGAATTGCTGCTCATTAAGTACATGTTCACTTTCAGTAGATAGTTCCAAATAGTTTTCCAACATGGTTATACCAATTTACACTGCTATCAGCAGTGTCTGGATAGACCAGTTCCTCTACAGTCTTGCCAACACCTGGTATTGTTTATTTTCTTATTTTATCCCATTCGCTAGCACTTTTAAACCTTTCACTTTCTAGGTTTTTTTTAATATTCACTTCCTTATCCAAAAAGTGTATGTTTGTAACTTTTTCATAAACTTTAAACAATTAATTTCCTACTATTATTGTTCAGTACCTAGCACACTTAAACTTCTCTCATCCATCCTTCATATGTAGTTATCTCACTATTTTCCAGTATGGTTTTGTGCAAACAAACCTCCATTTATTGTTCCACTAACAACAGCTTCTTCTGATTTTCTGTATGAAAGAAAAAATATAATTATTTTTTCTGTTACCTGTTTCTCTCTTACACTTTCAAACCTTCCTCAAATGAACGTTTATATAATCAAGGTTGCTGTTTTATAAGTCTTTTCTGCTTTTGTATGATAGAGTACTCTGCCCCCAAGTTTCTGTCTGAGTGGAAATTATGACAGGGTATTCTCTGTGAATCAGTTCAGGGCCAGGGTAAAAATATCAGGCTTTACTTTAAGGTGCATTGTGATGTATGGGCAAGGAACTCTTTTCAGGACATAGCCCTTCATATGACTGGATGCAAAAGGTTGTATGCTGAGATTCCAAGATTTCCACTAAATGTCTTAGTGCTCTCCAGAAAAATTCCTTTTATTTCTTTAGAAATGAGCATTAAGGTTTTTGAAGGGAGCCTTGAGAGAAAATAACATACGCTGTACTTCTAATAAAATCTGTTTTAAAATGAAAAATAATTTGTAAGCCATATTTAAGGATACCTGCTGGGGCTGTAGTCAAAGAGAGTGAATAAAGGACCCTGGACGCCAGAGATGCCATTAAGCTGGAATCAGAATATCCACTGAAAGAATGAAGCATTTAGGATTGAGCTTGAAATCGCTTTATTTCAGCAAAGAAACTAAACCCAACCAAGATGTTTGTGGTTGTTGGCTTTACTTCATCAGTTTATTTTGTTATTGACATCCTCAAGGAGGTTTATTCTCAGTAAGGTTAAGCAAACCATGGAAGCTGGTCACAGTGACCTTATTTTTATCCTTCAGGATAGATAGAGGTGCTTTTCAACTATGAAATTATTTCATCTGCTTGGACTTTAGATTTTATTTAGCTTAATTTGTTTTACCTAGAGTTGAAGTATTTTTTAAAAATATTCTCATTTTAAATCTTCCATTATTTTGACTCTTACCTAAAGCGAATTTTGCTAGAACTCAATTGATTTCACCTCTCAATAGATATGAAATCAACCTGAAATGAATTATGTTTGGTATATTTTGTTTCCTTATATGTGCACCAATCCATTTCATGTACTTTTAGGATATTTAGAGATACATTTTACTATTTCTCTGAGCAGAAACTGGTGAGATAGGAATGGATATAGCCATGATGAATTATCATTGAATTCCATGGTTTCCACTCACAAGTAATTCACCTTCGCACTACCTTATTTGGTCTATATTTATAGGACCTGGAATCATCCATGTTGTGAGAGGATGGTAGAGGTGAGTCTTAAATATTTGTTTTCTGCATTGCATTATGTTCTTATGACAGGGTAATATATTTAGATCTCGGTTAATTTAGGAAGTAAATTTGATTTTGAAAGTTATAGTAAAATGTACAATACTAATAAAATCATCACCAGTTTTATTCATACAAAAATGAAGTGAAATCCTAAAATGCTTACTTATAACAGACACTTAATTGCTCTTAGTTCTTCTTTTAAATAATTTAATTTAATAAGGTATTTTCATCATAAGTATATCTTGGCCTCAGTTTTCATCATAATAGCCTAATTGTTCCTTTTACTATGCAGGTGTAACCACAAAACAAATTACATCTGTTGTTCATGCCATTTTATGAGTCAAATAATTTAGAGAAATGATTGCTTATTTTACCATCAGTGTCGCTAACCACTTTTACATTTTGCATAGTTTGTTGATGTGTTTGTTGAGACAATTAAATAGTGTACTTTGTGGTTTCACAGATTATATGGCTCATCAGAGATAAATTGCACTGGCAAAGAATAAAAGTTGATCATAAGAGGTTTATATTGTCTGAGGGAGCGATTTTCAATTAAACATTAGTGTGCATAAAAATCACTTAAAGAGAAAGATTGAAGTTGAGATTTCTGTTAGCACCACCAGAAAATTTGATTCTAGGTCTGGAGGGGAGCCCAGGAATAGGCTTGAGAAAAAAAAAACCCTCAAGACTTCCAAGTACTCCTTTATGCAAGTGGTTCGAACACTTCAATTTGAGAAGCACTGACTGGATCTAAAAGCCTTTAGAATCCTCAGATTTTGTAAATGGTATTGACCTACAAGCTCCTCATGAAGTTATAAATTTGAACGCGTGGTGGCAGTGCAGGCTAAGAGAGTAAATCCAAATTCTGCAGATTCCGTGGACGCCATTTCACCGAGAAACCCAAGAAAAAATACAGAGCACATTTAAGCTAAAGCCAAGATAGAAGTGTTCAGGAAGGCAGTAAGCACCAGACATATTAAAAGAACGAATTCGAAGCAAGAACATTTCGGAAGGTCGACGGTGGATGCAGTGATTGCGAGTCGAAAAGGATTTTTCCTCTGGAATCAGACATAACAATAGAGATGGCACAAACAAAAGCCCATCGCAAGAAAAGGCAAGTGGCGACCTTCATTGTATTGATGGTTTTGTGGGAGGCGGGTTCAGAATCAATTCAGTATTCTGTGTTGGAGGAGACAGAAAGTGGCACATTTGTTGCTAACTTGACAAAAGACCTGGGACTCAGGATGGGAGAGCTGGCTGCGCGGGGAGCCCAGATTGTTTTCAAGGGAAACAGACAATATTTGCAGCTCGACCCACACACTTATGATTTGCTGCTAAATGAGAAACTTGATCGGGAGGAGCTTTGCGGCTCCAGTGAGCCCTGTGTTCTACCTTTCCAGGTGTTACTGGAAAATCCCTTAAAGTTTTTCCGGGCTGCCTTGCAAGTCAGAGATATAAATGACCACGCCCCGAAGTTCCCGGCCGGAGAAATGCTACTAAAAATATCAGAAATTACTACTCCAGGAAAGATATTTCCGTTGAAAATGGCACAGGATTTAGACGCGGGTAGCAACAGCCTTCAGAGCTACACCATCAGCTCCAATTCTCACTTCCATGTTCTCACTCGCAATCGCAGCGACGGCAGGAAGTACCCTGAGCTGGTGCTGGACAAAGCGCTGGACCGTGAGGAGAAGCCCGAACTCAGGCTAACCCTCACGGCTCTGGATGGAGGGTCTCCGCCCCGGTCAGGGACCACAGAGATTCAAATCCAGGTCTTGGATATCAATGACAATGCCCCCGAGTTTACTCAGGAGCTCTATGAGGCGCAAGTCCCTGAAAACGACCCCCTAGGCTCTCTGGTTATCACCGTCTCAGCAAGAGATTTAGATGCAGGATCCTTTGGGGAGGTATCTTATGCCCTATTTCAAGTCGATGACGTTAACCAACACTTTGAAATAAATGCAATCACAGGAGAAATTCGACTGAGAAAGACATTGGATTTTGAAGAATTCCAATCTTATCACGTGGATGTTGAAGCCACAGATGGCGGAGGACTATCAGGAAAATGCTCTATAATCATTAAGGTCCTGGACGTGAATGACAATGCCCCTGAATTGACTGTGTCATCACTCAACAGCCCCATTCCTGAAAACCTGCCAGAGATGATAGTGGCAGTTTTCAGTGTTTCAGATGCAGACTCTGGGCATAACCAACAGGTTATTTGTTCTATAGATGACAATCTCCCCTTTCTTCTAAGACCGTCGGTGGAGAATTTCTACACCTTGGTAACAGAAGGAGCGCTGGACAGAGAAAGCCAAGCTGAGTACAACATCACCATCACCGTCACCGACTTGGGGACTCCCAGACTGAAAACCCAGCACAACATTACCGTATTGGTCTCCGACGTCAACGACAACGCCCCGGCCTTCACCCAAACCTCCTACACGCTGTTCGTCCGCGAGAACAACAGCCCCGCCCTGCACATCGGCAGCGTCAGCGCCACAGACAGAGACGCGGGCGCCAACGCCCAGGTCACCTACTCGCTGCTGCCGCCCCAGGACCCGCAGCTGCCCCTGGCCTCCCTGGTGTCCATCAACGCGGACAACGGGCAGCTGTTCGCCCTGAGGGCGCTGGATTACGAGGCCCTGCGGGTCTTGGAGTTCGGCGTGGGCGCCGTGGACCGCGGCTCCCCGGCGCTGAGCAGCCAGGCGCTGGTGCGCGTGCTGGTGCTGGACGCCAACGACAACTCGCCCTTCGTGCTGTACCCGCTGCAGAACGGCTCCGCGGCCTGCACCGAGCTGGTGCCCAGGGCGGCCGAGCCGGGCTACCTGGTGAGCAAGGTGGTGGCGGTGGACGGCGACTCGGGCCAGAACGCCTGGCTGTCGTACCAGCTGCTCAAGGCCACGGAGCCCGGGCTGTTCAGCGTGTGGGCGCACAACGGCGAGGTGCGCACGGCGCGGCTGCTGAGCGAGCGCGACGCGGCCAAGCACAGGCTGCTGGTGCTGGTCAAGGACAATGGCGAGCCGCCGCTGTCGGCCAGCGTCACGCTGCACGTGCTGCTGGTGGACGGCTTCTCGCAGCCCTACCTGCCGCTCCCGGAAGCGGCTGCCGACGCGGCCCAGGCCGACCCGCTCACGGTCTACCTGGTCATCGCGCTGGCGTCGGTGTCGTCGCTCTTCCTGTTCTCGGTGCTGGCGTTCATCGCAGTGCGGCTGTGCAGGAGGAATAGGGCCTCCTGGGTGGGTGGCTGCTCGGTGCCCGAGGGCCACTTTCCGGGCCACCTGGTGGACGTCAGCGGCACGGGGACCCTGTCCCAGAGCTATCAATATGAGGTGTGTCTGATGGGAGACTCAGGTACTAGTGAGTTCAAGTTCCTGAAGCCGATTCTTCCCTACTTCCCTCCTCAGGGCATTGGGAGGGAGATGGAGGAAAACCCCACCTTGCCGAATAGCTTCCCATTCGGTTAAGTATTGGATTATTCTGCAACTCCTACTTAGTAAGTTTGGAAATCTCCTTTAACTTAAAGTTATATGTTATTTATGGTTGCTTTCTTGATTATTTCACTACTGTTTCTTTTGGTGACATCAAAAGAAATTCAGATACTTTATTTACACAGTATATTATGATTAGTAGTTTTTATATTAGACAATCTGAATAAAAAGTCAATTTTTATTTGCATAATTTTAAATTTTTGAAATTCAATCATCTATTGTTTTTACAAAAAATTATATTCCAACGTCCTAAGATTGTTTTTCTAACTATTGGTAACAACTGTCATCGCTATTGCTATGAAGAGAAAATTTTAAACGGGAGTGTTCGATATTATTTAATCTGCCCTTATAAGTCTCATTTTGGGGTAACTCCTACAGTGTGATAAAGATAAACCCTAAAGATGGCTAAATACTAAAATAGGAATTTATATGATTTCAGTATACCCTATATATAATAGTCAATACATAGTTTCTATGAATGTAGACTTTTCAAAAGTATCTACATATTAATTTACAGTTTGTGAGCTTCATGTAAGAATATAATGGTTTTTTTTTAAACACCAGGCCAATTATAAATGTTTAATAAATATTTACTGAAAGTTATTAACATTCCTATAATGAATTAAAAAATAATTGTCAAGGGTTACAGAAATATTAATATCCTCTCTACACTATAGTACCCTTGCCAATAAGTGAAATTATTAAATATCACTTTTTTACTTTCTTCTAGATAGAAAACACCCTCCACTCATTCTAAACTTTATTACAGATTATAAAATGCTTGAGAGTACATTTTTATTACCTTATCTTTGACCAATTATTTCTAAGTTCAAAGATATTGTTTAAAATCCAAATTATATTTTTCAAACTCCTCCTCCTAGTTTCTCAAGCTTCTATATGTGTGATACCTGCCAAGACCTAAGTAAGCTATTAGTGCCAGGTTATCAGATGATGACAGGTTTTCCCTTCTAGTGTTGTATATTAATCATTTATCTTTATTAACCATAAAATCATTTACAATTTAACCCATATTTGTTCTTATATGTGTTGATATATTTGAAGTATTTTATGAGAAATTCCTCTTCAATTTCCCATCAAAGTCAGACAATTTATACTAAAGTGACAATCGAGTGAAATTTTTATTTTTATCATTAATTAAAATGGAAGTGGGCTTAACTAAATTATATTTGGCTGTGTTTTGTGTCCAAATAAGTGAATTGTCATGGCTCTTTGTCATGGATGGTTACCAATAGATTCAATGAGTGTAGGGAATACTTATTCTGTTTTATTCCCAGATTTTTAACCTGTCCTCCTTGGAATAATAGCATTCTTCTTTGGTAGAAGCAGCTTGTTTTGCTATTATCACTCCAACCACATGACTTTTGTTGGTGTGGTGGTGTTTTTCAAACCCCTTCTCCATAGTCCCAGAAGATGTACACTCGGATGGGCCCCTATCCATTGCTGCAAGGTCAAAACCCTTTCCTAGAAAGTATATCTTTGACTTCATTGATTTTATTGTCTTTTTCATGTTTGTAGAAAGACATTGCCCGAATTCTGAGCTCCTATTGACTTCTAATAAAACAAATGGCAATTTCCTCTCAACTTTACTGGGCTACGCACACAATGAATTTATGAAGGAAAAAAATTCCCAAAGGCTATGTAGCCTAGAGACTGACAAGAAGTCATATTTTTTTCAGGAGTTATAGGTCTATTTCAATTTGGGAGTAGAAAATGTATTTAAAGTTCGTAACTTCTAACACAATAGAACAAATTATGATTTTTGTAATTAAATGTAAGCTCCTCGAGAGCAAGAATTTTTGTGTTTAATTTACCATCTTATATCTAGAAACTAGAAAATTTTCTGCACAAATACTTATTAAATGACTAAATAAATTTGTCCCCAGCTGAGTTTTGTATACTGAACTTGTATCTTTTAAAAGAAGATGAATATAGATATAGATAAATAGGTATTACTTTGCTCTCAAAACTATTGTTAGCTCCCTGGAGAAGACTGCACAAAAGATAACACTCCACGACCCAAAAGGCATTCAATGCGTTTTCGCTATTACATTACGCTTTAAAATGAAAATTACCTGAAGTTGTAAAGCAGAACGCTTGGTGGCGCTGCAGGATAAGAGTGAAAAAATGTCTCATGACTTTGAGACTCCATAAAGCTGAGCAGTGTCTGGCAGCACACAAAGGAAACATTTTACACCACCGGGGATAGAAGATTTCAGAGAGGCAGCTATCTCCATGTCAGTCCGTGTTAAGAACTAACTCAAGATTATTAAGCCAAGATTGCAGAGTTGGCTGCAAAGCAATTATTTTGTGATTTAATACTGGATCTTTTGCACCTGGAGGAAGGATGGAGACACAGCTACCCAAAGCGCCCCAGAAAAGGCAAGTGACCGCCATTATCATTCTATTACTATCGTGGGAGGCGGGCGGTGCGACCATTAAGTATTCTGTTCCAGAAGAGAAGGATAGTGGTTCTTTTGTGGCCAACCTAGCGAAAGATTTGGGGCTGGACTTAGGGGAGCTGGCCATGAGGGGCGCCCAGATTCTTTCCAAAGGGACCAAACAGCATTTGCAGCTCGAGCAGAAGAGTGGGAATTTACTCCTAGAAGAAAAAATGGACCGGGAAGAGTTGTGTGGTGACACAGAGCGATGTATACTGCATTTCCAGGTGTTACTGAAAAACCCAGTGCAGTTTATTCAAGGTGAACTACAGCTCCAAGATGTAAATGACCATGCCCCAGAATTCCTGGAAAAGGAAATCTTTCTAAAGATCTCAGAAAGCAGCCATCCGGGGACTGCATTTCCTTTGAAAATAGCTCAGGATTTAGACGTGGGCAGCAACACAGTTCAGAACTACACAATTAGCTCCAACTCCCATTTCCATCTTTTTACTCGTAATCGCAGCGATGGCAGGAAATACCCGGAACTGGTGCTGGACAAAGAGCTGGACCGAGAGGAGGAGCCAGAGCTCAGGTTAACCCTCACGGCGCTGGATGGCGGGTCACCGCCCAGGACTGGGACATCCCAGGTTATCATTGTAGTCCTGGACATAAATGACAATGCCCCTGAATTTGATCAGTTACTCTATGAGGTTCAGGTATTAGAAAACAGCCCTGTAGGCTCCCTTGTCATCACTGTCTCTGCTAGAGATTTAGATGCTGGAACTCATGGAGAGCTCTCCTACTCATTTTTCCAATCCTCAAATCAAATCATTCAGGTGTTTGAAATAAACGCAATCACAGGAGAAATTCGATTAAAAAGAATGTTGGATTTTGAGGAAATTCAATCTTATCGAATGGAAATTGAGGCCTCAGATGGCGGGGGTCTTTCAGGAACCTGCACTGTAGTCATAGAAGTAATGGATGTAAACGACAACGTCCCGGAACTGACCATGTCATTACTCATCAGTGATATCCCAGAAAACGCACTTGACACTGTGGTTGCTATTTTCGGAATTTCAGATCCAGACTCTGGGGACAATGGCAAAATGATGTGTTCCATCCAAGATCATCTCCCCTTTCTTCTGAAACTTACCGTAGAAAATTTCTACACCTTGGTAACAGAAGGAGCGCTAGACAGAGAGACAAGATCCGAGTACAACATCATCATCACCGTCACCGACTTGGGGACACCCAGACTGAAAACCGAGCACAACATAACCGTACTGGTCTCCGACGTCAACGACAACGCCCCGGCCTTCACCCAAACCTCCTACACGCTGTTCGTCCGCGAGAACAACAGCCCCGCCCTGCACATCGGCAGCGTCAGCGCCACAGACAGAGACGCGGGCGCCAACGCCCAGGTCACCTACTCGCTGCTGCCGCCCCAGGACCCGCAGCTGCCCCTGGCCTCCCTGGTGTCCATCAACGCGGACAACGGGCAGCTGTTCGCCCTGAGGGCGCTGGATTACGAGGCCCTGCGGGTCTTGGAGTTCGGCGTGGGCGCCGTGGACCGCGGCTCCCCGGCGCTGAGCAGCCCGGCGCTGGTGCTGGTGCT